AAGGCCAGTTTGCCTGAATCATGGAGTATGAGAGGAGGAGTAAGATCCAATAAGCCCGGGAAAAGATGACATAAGTCTGGGCTGTCAATATTTTGTCCTGGAGGCAATAGAAAGCTATTAGCATTAGTCAAGTAGAAGAGTCACATTTTTGGATTATGTTTAATGAAGATTACTTTTGCAATGTGTGTAAGATAAACTGGAGTGGTAAGACAATTGAGGCATGAAGACTAATTAGGTGGCTATTACAATAATCTAGGCAAAGGGTAATGAGGGTTTGAAAAAGGTAGTTCCTGTGTGAGTGGAAAGAAGGAGAAAGAGAAAAAAAGAAAGAAAGAATGTGACAAGAGAGAGATTGGTGATATACCATTGCAACGCTGGCCTCCAGTCAGCCATAGAAATTTAAGTCAATCCCTCAGCGATCAAATGCTAGACAATGCTGACTGTGAGCTTGTAGTATCTCACAAGGGAAAGACGCGTGGCAACAGGGCACTTAGGTTGGCCAGACCAAATGCCAGCAGTGTGCACCAGAAGCAGCTTTACAGCCATTCTGTCAAAAGCAGCAAAGCTGGCCATGAGTATAGCTCCCATATGTTTTCTCCCACCTCTGTCAATACTTCTGGACAGTTCTGGGCTCCATGACCCACTTGTTATTTCTATAACTCTACTAGAATACAGATTGCAAGATACAAGGGATAGCTTTTATGATAGTCATCCTCAGAATATCGGTTGTTCAGGTGAAAAACAAGTGTTTGTCGAGTGTATTCAGCATGGCATGGGGGCAATACAAAACATAAGATAGGGTTCTTGCCTGCCCTCCAGAAATTTATAACCTAGTTTTAGAAACAAGGCAAATGAAACAATAGTACTGAATGAAAGAATGTAATTAATTCTTTCTTCACATCTTATATATGTCTCTTCCTTTCCTTTCCCAGTACCACCACTCTAATTCCTGACTTGGTGACCTCTAACCTAGACTGCTACACCCTTCTAACTGATCTCTTTGGCTTCAGTCTCTCCGCATCCTACACATTGATACCAAATGACCTTGGAAGATACTTTTACTACTCTAACCACGTTACCCTTCTTATCTCACCCCCCAAACCTTCAATACTTCTCTATTGCCTACACAATGAGGTACAAACTCCTTACCTAGCTATTCAGGAAACTCTGCAATCTAGACTCAGTCTACTTGACTCTCTGTCAGACGTGAACTGTCTGCCCAAACAAAACCAATCAACTTACCATTTTCTGAAGATACCTTGTACTTTTCTACTTCATTCCATGTCTTCCTTCCCGTATAGAATGCCATCTCTAGTCCTTCCACCTATGAAAATCCTGCCCATTCTGCAAGGCCAGGCTCAAATTCCACCTCCTCCTAAACCATTCCAGCTTATATTGTTAGTATTTTTTTCTACCTCTAATTGTCTTCCTCCACTAAAATGCTACTCAGATACCTCAATGTAAGACAGTGGTGACCAGAGACTCTTCAGGGCTATTTAAATAGAACAAAAGCTCTGGCAGGTCCTACCAAGTTAGACATTCAAATATTGGCCTACCCATCGTCTATATGTGTGTCATTCAAGGACTGGCCTAGCTAAGTTCAGAAAAGACTCAGCAACAGAATGTTGATTACCAAATGAGAATTTTTTTTCCCCCACAGGAGCTTAAGCCCCATCTCCTGAGACACAGAGAAATGACGGCTTGAATTGATAGGAGGATAAGTTTTCATGTCATTAAAATATTAGCTCAATAGTTCTTAAAAGGTGTTTGTTCCATAGCATCCTCCAAGTGTGGTGAATTAAATGGAACTTGCACGTGCAACTGCATGTGAATCTCCACTACATGGTATAACACATGTATTTATAATCACCTGTACATGCATGAGTCTTCCTATTCTCCTATAATATGCCATGATTCCTTTCAACAAAGAACAATCCTGTGCTACAAGCAAAAAAGAAAAATGAGAATCACTGTGTTGGACATCACTTTTCCAAGAATATTTTATATTCCACTTGGCATCCACTTATCCACCAAATGCCATCGCAGTGCTTTGGACATAATAGATCCTCAGTAAATATTTATTGTTATTATACACCCTATTTTTCTCTCTTTTCCCCATATATTTAGTTGTTGGTTGCTAAATTGTGTAACACAAGCTAAAACCACTCTAGGAGTGAATTTGCATGTATGGAGAACACTACTTTGCAAATCTCTGTTGTTCCTTTTGTTTGTTTGTTTGAAGTCAAAACCAACTCAGCATATGAAGTATTATGACATGTGCCCCACATATCGTTTCATGGTATTTCACAGAATCAGAGCATCCCAACTGACAGGGGCATCAACACTCATCTAGTTCAATTGGTACCTAAACAAGAATCCCCTCTCAATATTAAGTATGAAGTAGTCATTAAGGAGTATTAAGAAGTCATCTACTCTCCACTTGAAAATCTCCTTGAGGAAAGACTCACTGCCAGAGCTGAAAGTATCATGACGAAAATGGGACTTTGATACAGGGCACGAATCATCTAGACAGAGTGGGAGGAACTTCCTCCTGAGGAAAGTATGCTGCCTCCCACAGTGCCTACAATCCTCATACTTCACCTCAAGATCATCTGCCAGCCAGCGCTGTCCTCCCAGGGATGCTGAGACACTTCTCTTTGTCTAGTTTCTCCCCCTCCTCATGCCCCTGTACAGACAAGAACTAGACTGCCCCTGCAAATGTAGCCAGACATCCTCTGGGTGAATGCCCTGCACTGACATACATATAGCCATAAGAGTTTTGCTTTGCATGCAGGTGAAAAAAATTTCTCTTTATAGCTCTACTCACCATGTCCTAAGACAATCCATTCCACTTTGGGGCAGCTCAGCAGTAGATGTTTACCAGCTATGATTGGCTGACCTATTCCCTGACCTTGGAAATGGATAAGAATGGGAACTTTTCACATATTTTGAAGGGCGTATTTCCGTTTCATATGTCTGTGCAGAGAAACAAGTAAACTAAACAATGACTATAATAACATAGAGTCTTGCAAACATTCTGATTGCACCAAGCACAGTGGCCCTGGTCAGGTTCCATCACTGGTGACTCAGTATACTGATGTTATCTCCTCAGGGCTTAGAGAATTTACTGGAATCTTACTTATTTTTATGTGTCCATCTAGCACATGAAAGATCAAATTCCATTTCCTAGTCACATCCTGAAATCCCAGTCGTTTTAGGCAGAACTTGCAACTGGGCCAGTTTAGTACAAAGAAAACTTTTCGAAAGGAAACGTTCTCATTCTCTCTGTCTCTGTCTCTCTGTCTCTGTTTCTGTCTGTCTCTGTCTATCTCTCTGTCTCTTTGTCTCTTTTTCTCTTTCTGTCTCTCCTTTCCTCTCTCTCTCAATCTCTGTAATATGGATATATGTGTTCATACATCATATATACATTTTTCTTTTGCTTCAAAATTTCATTTTCTAGGGGAAAGGATAATTTCACTAACAAGGCAAAGATATTTACCCCATTCACCAGCAGAAGTGGATTCGGAGAACAAAGAAGCCAAGAAAGGGGAGAGTCAGGCCTATAGAATTTACTTCAAAGGCAAGTTAGAACTAATTCGGCCTACTAAGTATGTAAATGCTAGTTTCTTGGATTAATGAAGACATATAAGAAATACATCACAATCAAAATTTTTACAATGCACATCACAGCTCTCCCTGTATTGCATTGAAACCCAGGGCAGATTTTAATGCCTTCATACATACTTTGAGACTAAAGTCTATTAACTAGTGAATATTTAACTGATGGTTACTAACCTCATTCAGGGACTCTATTTGGTAGAGTTTAGCAAAGTGGCTTATTCTGTTTGGTTTAGCCTTGCTCCTTAGACTAATTGCTACTGCTTTCAATACTATAAAAAGCCATAATCAAGAAAGATTCAATGTAAAACAAAATAAATCATAGCACTTTAGGGCCAGAATTCTCTCATTTTACAAATGAAGAGGCTGAGCACCAGAGAGATGCAATGACCAACGCCCTACCCAAAGCCCTACATCTAGTCAGCATCTGAGGCATGATTATCACTCCTTCCGTGTAGATTCACATGATAATAGAAGTATAAATACAGGTATAATCTAAGGAAGATACTTTATAGCTCTAAATCTGTAGTCTTATGATCCTATTAATTTTCTGATTGCTAATTTATACCTGTATATAATAATAATAATAATAATAATAAACAACCAATATTTACAGAGTGTCTGAAAGGTCACATAGTACTTTATATACATTATCTAATTTGGTCTTCACAATGACCTTGCAATGTAGATACTACTATACAAAAGAGAAAACTGAGGCTGGGTGTTCCAGTGATTTGGCTGTCCTATCTCTGGGAACTAGTAAATGTCAGGGGCAGAATACAGATCCAGGTCTTCCTGACTTGGAGTCCAACATTAACCACTGCCTCATGTCACCAGCTCTTATATAAGTATAGGTATGGTCTAAGTAAAGAGTGGCAAAGGTTCAAGATTCTTTAGCTCAGAGTTTTGAAGACCAAATAATGCAAAAGACATGGCAGTCCACCATAGAGCTCACCCAGCTAATACATTTGCAGACCAACAGCCGCCCCAGTGCTGGCAACTTTCAAGAGAGAGCCCCAAGATGCTCCCAGAAATAGGCACAGCATCTGACTGGCCTATTTCCAAACCTAGTCTGGTATTTTGCTGAGATTGACTTTTTCCACTGTCTTATTGTTTGGCCCAAGGAAAAGACAGGGACCCAAAAGAAGTGGCAAAGAAGCTAATGGCTCCAGTTGGCGTGTCTAGCTTAGGATAACTACTGTGTGTGCCAGAAACACAAGCCATATGCTATCTCAGCAGGACACATACAGGAAGACACAAGTGGGATCCTGGGGCACTAGAGGACAATGTAGAGTGATAGAGCTGATTCTCTATCATTAAATGCGCTGAAATTCAGAACTTCTGGCTGAAATGTTATGGTGTTATTGTTTCTTCCTCTCCAGGGTGCCATTTTGATATTTATGGGAATTGCTGTTCTCGCTATGAAGGCATCTGTTATTGAAATGTTCCTTGGTAAGTACTTTTATATGTGTGTCTGGATACACTCATAACATTTTCCTAAGAAGTGAGGGGAAAAAACAAGCCAAAAAAGTTTTTAAACTAAAAAATATTGCATAAACACTATTGTAAGTCTTTTCAAAATAAACATTCTGGGAGAAAGTTGTAAGAGAGAATGCTAACTGCACATTTGATTAGTTTTATGTGCTATTCATCTACCTACCAGAAACCCAGAGTCATGACTGTTGGTTGGGTACTTGATTGTCTGGACTCCAATTTAGTCCAGCTAATGTTCACAGGGTAGCACCTTTCTAGGTTGAGGCTCTAAGAGCCCTTTTGCTCCCAACCCAGTGGTTTGTTTATTTACAAGGCTGCATCCAACATTCAGCAAATATTTATTAATCACAAACTATGTGTGAGACACTGAAGGAGATCGAAAAATAAATTAGGCATAGATGTCTATTGGACAGCTAGGTGGCACCGTGGATAGAATGCCAGTGGATGGAGTTAGGAAGACTCATTTTCCTGTGTTCAGATCTGGACTCAGACACTTACTAGCTGTGTGAACCTGGGCAAGTCACTTAACACTTTTTGCTTCAGTTTCCTCATCTGTAAAATGAGCTGAAGAAGGAAATGGCAAACCACTCTAGTATCTTTGCCAAAAAAACCCCAAATGGGGTCATGAAGAGTTGGACACAACTGAAAAACTACTGAACAACAAAATAGCTACCACCTCAAGGAGCTTATGGTACACTGGAGGGAAACAGCACATACACAGAAGCAGGACCCAAGTTAAAAACCTGACTTTAAAATGAGGGGGTTATCCAAGGTACCACCTTACACCTACCATATTGACTAATATGACAGAAAAGGAAAATGATAAATGTTGGAGAAGATGTAGAAAAATTGGAAGATTAATGCATTGTTGGTGGAGCTGTGAATTGATCCAACCATTCTGGAGAGCAATTTAGAACTATGTCCAAAGGGCTATAAAACTGCATACCCTTTGATTCAGAAATACCACTACTAGGTCTATATCCCAAAAAGATCATAAAAAGGGAGAAAGGACTCACATGTACAAAAATATTTGTAGCAGCTCTTTTTGTGGTGGCAAAGAATTGGAAATTGAAAAGGATGCCCATCAATTGGGGAATGGCAGAACAAGTTGTGGCATATGAATGTAATAGAATACTATTGTTCTATATGAAATGATGAGCAGGAAGATTTTAGAAAAACCTGGAAAGACTTATATGAACTGATGCTGAGTGAAGAGAACAGAACCAGGAGAACATTTACACAGCAACAGCAACATTGTGCAATGATTATCTATGACAGACTTACCTCTTCTCAGCAATACAATGATCCAAGACAATTCCAAAAGACTCATAATGGAAAATGCTATCCATATCCAAAGAAAGAACTATGGAGTCTGAAAGCAGATGAAAGCATACTATTTTCACTTTTTTTGTTTTTGTTTTTTATTTTTTGTTTTGTCTTTTTTTTCTTTCTCATGGATTTTCCTTTTTGATTTATTTATTTTTAGTTTTCAATATTCACCTCCACAAGATTTTGAGTTCCAAATTTTCTCCCCAACTCACCCTTCCCCCACCCCAAGATGGCATGCTTTCTGTATACCCCTTCCCCTAATCTGCCCTCCCTCCTATCTCTCCCCCCTTCTCTTATCACCTTCCCTTTCCATTTTCCTATAGGGTAGGATAGATTTCTATATCCCATTTCTTATATTTCTTATTTTCCGGTTGCAAGTGAAAACAATTTTTTTTAAGATGTGTTTTTAAAACTTTGGGTTCCAAATTTTCCCTCTTCCTCCCTCCCCACCCACCTCACTGAAAAGGCAAGCAACTCAATACAGGTTATACATGTGTAGTTATGCAAAACACTTCCATAGTAATCTTGTTGTGAAAAAACTAAGAATATTTCCCTTAATCCTATCCCGCCCCCTATTTATTCTATTCTCCCTTTTGATCCTGTCCCTCCTCAGAAGTGTTTGCTTTTGCTTACTCCCTTCCCCCAATCTGCCCTCCCCTCTATCATCACCCTGCTCTCTTGTTCCTTTCCCCCCTATTTTCCAGTAGGGTAAGATACTTTCTATACCCAATTGAGTGTGTATGTTATTCCCTCCTTAAGCCAAATCCTATGAGAATAAGATTCACTCTTTCCCTCTCACCTTCTCCCACTTCTCCTCCACTGTAAAAGCCTTTTCTTATCTGTTTCATGTGAGATAATTTACCCCATTCTACCTCTCCCTTTCTCCTTCTCCCAGTATAATCCTCTCTCACTCCTTAATTTTATTCTCCAGATATCACCACTTCATCTTCACCTCACTCTGTGCCATCTATCTATCTATCTATCTATCTATCTATCTATCTATCTATCTATCTATATCTATCTATCTACATACATATAATTTTTTCCCTCCAACTACCCTAATACTGACAAAGGTCTCGTGAGTTAAAATATCATCTTTCCATGCAGGAATGTAAACAGTTCAACCTTAATAAGTCTCTTATGATTTCTCTTTCCTGTTTACCTCTTCATGTTCCACTTGAGTCTTGTATTTGAAAGTCAAATTTTCTATTCAGCTCTGGTCTTTTCATCAAGAATGCTTGAAAGTCCTCTATTTCACTGCATATCCATTTTTTTTCCCCTGAAGGATTATACTCAGTTTTGCTGGATAGGTGATTCTTGGTTGTAATCCTATCTCCTTTCACCTCCAGAATATTCTATTCCATGCCCTGTGTCCTTAATGTAGAAGCTGCTAAATCTTGTGTTATCCTGATTGTGTTTCCACAATACTTGAATTGTTTCTTTCTGGCTGCTTGCAATATTTTCTCCTTGACCTGGGAACTCTGGAATTTGGCTACAATATTCCTAGGAGTTTTCCTTTGGGGATCTCTTTCAGGAGGAGATCGGTGGATTCTTTCATTTCTATTTTGCCCTCTGGTTCTAAATATCAGGGCAGTTTTCCTTGATAATTTCTTGAAAGATGATGTCTAGGCTCTTTTTTTGATCATGGCTTTCAGATAGTCCAATAATTTTAAATTCTCTCTCCTGGATCTATTTTCCAGGTCAGTTGTTTTTCCAATGAGATATTTCACATTGTTTTCTATTTTTCATTCTTTTGGATTTGTTTTACAGTGTCTTGATTTCTCATAAAGTCACTAGCTTCCAATTGCTCTATTCTAATTTTTAAGGAAGTATTTTCTTCAGTAAGCTTTTGGACTTCCTTTTCCATTTGGCCAATTTTTCTTTTTAGGGCATTTTCTCCTCATTGGCTTTTTGGACCTCTTTTGCCATTTGGGTTAGGATGTTTTTTAAGGTGTTATTTTCTTCAGTATTTTTTTGGGTCTCCTTTAGCAAGCTGTTGACTTGTTTTTCATGATTTTCTTGCATCACTCTCATTTCTCTTCCCAGTTTTTCCTCTACTTCTCTTACTTGCTTCTCAAAATTTTTGAGCTCTTCTGGACAATTCATATTTTTCTTGGAGGCTTTGGATGTAGGAGCTTTGACTTTGTTGTCTTCTTCTGGTTGTATGTTTTAATCTTCTTTGTTACCCAAGAAAGATTCTATGGTCTGACTGTTTTTTGTGAGGCTTGCTCATGATCCCAGCCAATTACTTGAGTTTTAAATTCTTTGTTAAGGTAGGTGTCTGCTTCCAGTGTGGAGAATGTACTGTCCCAAGCTTCAGGGGTTTTGTGCAGCTGTTTTCAGAGATGCTTCTAGGGACCTGTAAATTTTCAGTTCCTGCAAGGTGATATGATAAGGGGCAAGGTGTTTACTCCTTTCCTGACCTGTGCTCTGGTCTATGAGTGACCACAAGCACTCTTTTTTGCCTTAGAACTGTGAGGAAGATTTCTTCTGTACCATCACTACAAGCTTCACCACACCAGCACTCCTCCCAGCCCCAGGATTGCCATCCAGAACTCTGCCCCAGATCCAAGCACGGGCAAAGCAAGAGATTCCTGTCTCAGCACTGGCAAAGAGATCCCTGTCATCTTCCTCTGATCAGTCACCCAATTCCCCCTCAGTCTGTGGGCTGGAAGCTCTGGAGGCAGCCACTGCCCCAGAGCCATGCTCAGGGACTGGGGCTGGGACCAAGCTTCTCTCTCTCACTGCGGTTACAGACCTTTCCCATTGACCTTCTAAGTTGTCTTTGGGTGGGTTTGTAGGTTGAGAGGTCTGGAAACCACCACAGCTGCCTGTGATTCAGTCCCTTGAAGCCTGTTTTGCCAGCATGCCCATGCTGAACTATGCTCCACTCCTCACCCAGAGTGATATACCTTTCTGATCAACCATCAGGGCTGTCTTGGGCTGGAAATTTGTTTCAGTCTGTCTTTTTGTGGGTTCTGCTGCTTTAGAATTTGTTTAGAGCCATTTTTTGCAAGTATTTGGAGGGGTCTGGGGGACAGCTCAAGCAAGTCACTGCTTTCACTCCATCATCTTGACTACGGATTTTCCTTTTTGTTCTGATTCTTCTTTCACAACATGTTTAACATGATTGTACATATATAATCTATATCAGATTGCTTATTGTCTTTGGGAGGGGGAGGAAAGGGAGGGAGGAAGAATAATTTGGAACTCAAAATTTTACAAAAATTAATGTTGAAAACTATCTTTACATACAATTTGAAAAAAATACTATTAATTTTTTTTAAATGAGGAGTTTGGATTGGATGACCTTTAAGGTCCTTTCCCACTCTAGATCCATGATACTATAATGTATACAATAAGGTAAAGGGTGCTTTTGCAGTGGCTGTCCCCCATACCTGGAGTCCACTCATTCCTTACCTCTAACTCTTAGAGTCCCTGGATTCCTTCTCAACTCAGCACCAGTGCTGCCTTCTGCCAGAAGCCTCTCCTGATCCCCCAGAGGCCAGTTCCCTCTCCCTCCAAACTATCTCGTACTATTATGTATATCTTTTTTATTTGCTTATTCATGGAGAGTACTCCCACTCCCCAATTAATATAATCACAGAGGGCCCACACAGCTGGATGGA